TAAGAATATAGTGATGGAAAGGTGGCTATTTAGAGTGCTCAGGGAAGGGTTCACGAAAGAGGTGACCTGAAATGAGAAGCTAGCTCTGTGCAGATGTGAGATTTATAGCTTAAAAGCATCACTTTGCTACTGTGTGGAGAACAGACTGTTGGGGTGGGGGGAAGGATATAAGTGGAAGCAGGTAAGAAATGATGGAGGTCTGAACAAGAAATATAGTAGAGCTTATAGAACTGCTGACTGATTGGATGTATAGTGTGTGCAAAAGGAGAGGATGAGGCAGGGCGTGTTCAAGCTTATGCCCTAAGCAATGTATAAATGACATACCATTTACTGAGATGGCAAAAACTGGCATTACAACCAGTCAGGGTGGAGGGAAACCAAGAGATACCCTAATTGAAATTCCAATTTTGGGGGGACCAGGGAGGTTGTCTGAATAGGTTCTTCTATCATGGTATTTGTCCAGGTCCCTACAATATGTCCGGACCATCTGGCATAGCCTGAGAATAGATGTTTCTTGCAACCTTAAATAACCGTGTGTCCAACTTGAATACTGCAAATTATATTTATATGCTATGTTATGGCTGCATTGAGAGTTACGAGAAGAAAAGTTCCCAGATGATCTAGAAGGTTTTTTATTTTATTTTCAACCCCTGCCCCATTCAAGTCTTCAGGAGTAAAAAACAAAAGTTACATTTTAGGCTCATTCAAGAATGCTACGACCCACAATCCTGAATTGATAGAGTTTGGATTTCATTAACTTTCGGTCTCCTTCATAATAAATCTGTAATTGTACCTGAACTTCTCTTAAGCTTTGAAGAATGAAGTGATGCCGTGTCTCTCCACGCAATTCCTGCGCCTGTGTCCTCCACCGGCCCCATGGTGCCTCTGCTTTCAGTTACCTTCTCTTCCTTAACCTTCCAATTCTAAGCACATTCGGTGCTGGCCCCACAGCCCTCCAGCTCTACCTATTGTCTACAGGAAAACTTTTATAGTCAAACTTTTTGAAGGAATCAAAAATAATAATAATAATAATAAATTGTCTGTTTCCTCTCCTGTCATGAATGCCTCCTAATCCCACTAAAACTGTGCTAACATTACCAATTACCTTTATAGAGACAAAATCAAATTTTATTGGACCATTTAACTGCAAGACATTAACTACTCATCGCTTACTTTCAACTCTCCTTCCTAGGCATCTGAGAAGAACTAGGGAAGGGTAACGCCTATCATCTGTGACTGTTTCTCTTTACCTCACTGACTCTTAATATTTAGTTGCCTCAGTGATCTAGTTGCTTTTTCTCTCTCCAAATTTTTAACTGATTTTTAGAGAGAGGAAGGGAGAGAGAAACATCAATTGGTTGCCTCCCATGCATACCCCGAATGGGGATTGAACCCGCAACCTAGGTGTGTGCCCTGACTGGGAATTGAACCTGTCACCTTTTGGTGTAAGGGACAACTCTCCAACCAACTTAGCCACACTGGCCAGGGCAGTTTTGAACACCATTCCTACAAAGTAATTCTAACTGTTCTCATAGGTTGTTTTTTTTGTTTGTTTATTTTATTTTTAGAGAGAGAGGAAAGGGAGAGAGAGACACTGATGTGAGAGTGAAACACTGATGGGCTGCCTCCTACACACCCCCTACCTGACCAGGAATCCAACCTGGCTGCCGTGAACAAAGCCCAACCAAGTGAGCCACACCAGCCAAGGCTGCTCTCATAATTTTAATTTCCATCTTTGGATAATGATTCTCAAATTTTTATCTCCAGCCCTTATCTCTCCTTAAGCCTCAGATCTAGAAACAATATTTGAAGAGACACTGGTGGAGAAATCTCTAAATCTGTTCAAAGACATAAAGGCAGATTCAAGAAGCTCTAAAACCGAATCAAAATAAATAAATAACCTAATACCTAGGCACGGCGTAATAAAACAGCTGAAAGCCAAAGATAAAGACAATATGTCTTCTAAAGTGCTGAAAGAAAATAAATGATAACTTAGAAGCAACAGTCAGCAAAATGGCCTTTAAAACTGGAGAAAATAAAAGATGTTTGCAGAAAAACAAAAACTGAGATTCACTGACAGCAATAAAAAACAAATAATCCTAGATGAAAGTACGGTAATAAACAAGGGGTTGAAGAACACAAAAAGTCATAAATAGGTATATAAATCTAAATAAATATTGACTGTTTCAAACTATATTTTGTGAGAGTTTTTTTGTATATATATATATGTATATATACACATATATGTACAGACAGAGAGAGAGAAGAGCGATAAAGAGAATGAAAATGAATTAAAATTTGTGACAGCACCATAAAAAGTAAATAAGAGATTAATGGCATTAAGGTATTACGGGATCCCTGCACTGTGTAGGAAATGATAAAAACATACAAACAAACAAACATTTTAGGGTAGATTCTAAGGAGTCAACAATATGTACTGTAATTCTAGGATAAGTACTAAAAATAATGAACAACTGTATTACTAATTAGTTAATAAAGGGGGAAAATTAAGTAAATATACTTGAATAAGCAAAGTCAAGGAAAAAGGGAGGAAATACACAGAGAATGGGGCAAGGAGAAAATAAGTAAGATGGTAGATTTATACTAAAATATATCAGTAATTGCAGTAAAAGTAAATGAACAAAAATCTCAGACACCCTGAGAAAAAACAAAACCCAAATATATAGTTTAAAAGAGACATATTATATATAAGATACAGAATTATTCCAAGTAAAGGAATGAAAAAATATGTTGTTCTGTGCTAACCAAAAGAAAACTGAGGTAGCCATACTAATATCAGACAAAGCAGACTTTCAGGCAAGTATTACCAGAGATAAAGAAGGATATCTCATAATGACAAAAGAATCAATTCAACAAAAAGGTATAACAATTGTAAAATTACATGCAATAAATGTATAATAGCTTCAAAATATATAAAGAGTTGATGGAATTAAAAGGAGATGATTCTACGATCACAGATGGAGATTTTTAAACATACCTTGCTTAGTTACTGACAAGCTGATTTTAAACAAATTACAAGGATATACAACATAAGTTCAAGTAGATGTCCAGCAACAAACCTGATCTAATATATACAAATGACACTGCATCTAACAACTAAGAATACACATTCTTTTAAAGTGCACACAGCACTTGACCATATGTTGAGTTATTAACCAACAACAACAAAAATCTTGAAGGAGAAAGTTAGAGGATATTAAACTCCCAGATCCCAGAATTATTATAAAGCTATAATATTTAAAAAGTGTGGTATAGGTGTAAAAATAGACACACAGGCAGAGGGAACAGAACAGAGATTAGAAACAGATCCACACACATATCGTCACATGACAAAGCTGACACTGCAATGCAGTAGTTTTTGGAAAACAGTGACTTTTCACTAAATTGTGCTGGATCAACTGGCTATGCAGGTGGGGGAAAAAATAAATCTTGACCTAATCTCATGCAATTTATAAAAATCAAATGAAGGGAAAAACAATACAGCTTCTGAAAGACAACGTAAAATATCTTCATGATTTGGTGAGGGCACACAACGATTTTTTAACCAGGACATAAAAACCACTAACCACTGAATAAAAGATTACTAAGTTGCTTTTATTAAAATTAAGAATTTTTATTCATCAAAAGAAATTATTAAGAGAGTGAAAAGGCAAACCACAGGGTAGGAGAAGATACATACCTATAATACACATATCCAACAAAAAGTTATTTCTAAAATAAATAAGTCCTATAACTCAGTAAGAGAAAGAAAGACAATATAAGATGTGCAAAAAACTTAGACACTTCAGAAAACAATTTCTAAATGGTCAAGAGGCATGACACAAGTTGCTCAACATCAGTAGTAATCAGGAAAGAATAAATTAAAATCATAATAAAGTACTGCTTTACTTTTACAATTGACTAAAAGTAACTTTAGTTACTTTGGGGGGAGGGGGGAGTTGAGAGATACCAAGTGTTCAGGAATGTAAACTGGTACACGACTTGGAAATTTTTTGTCTTTGAGTAAAACTGACACTCCATAAACCTGCACTATGTTTAACCTGCAGTTTCTTGTGTCTTCTAGCACATGACTGTGTACCCAGGTTTGTGAAGCAACAAACATGATAAAGTTCAAGGTGTTCTGCAGAACATAAAAACACAACAATCTGGCCCTTGTCCTAGCTGCCTCTTCCCTTACCCTCCATGTTGTTCTTCCCCTGGATTATGCATGCTTTTGTTTATGTTGTTCCTTGTATGAACTGAATGTTTATGTTTCACCAAAATTCATACGAAACCCTAACCCCCCAGGTGATGGTACTTGGAAATGGTAAATAGTTAGGTCATGAAGGGTGTGGACCCGGTCTGATGAGATCAGTGACCTTATAAGAAAAGACACCAGGCCGATTGCTCACTTTAATGCTCTCTCCTTCTGCCAGGTGAGGATGAAGAGAGAATGCTTTATCATTTTGTTCATTTGATTTGTGCCACTATCTATAGTGTATGCAAATTCCTTCCCTAACAAATTGTATGTCTGAAGTCCTCAGGTCAAATGAGAACCATTCAGTAAGAAACTACTGGGCTTTAGGCGTAGCCACTATGTCACTGGACACTACTGCATCTTATAAATATCATCTATCAAGAAGAATAGATATTTTAAAACATTTTTTAAACAACTTTGATTGGCCTTTGATTCTGTAAACACTGAGTGGTTATGATTTTAATTACCGAGTTCACACAGTGTAAAAGAATTGTAACTAATACATTTCTCCTTTTCACCTTTGTCACTGAAAATTCTAAAGTCAAATTTATGGCTCAATTATTACACCTATAGAGGACTGTACGGCCTATATATTTATTGTCTAATTCTGGATTTGATTCATTATAAATCAAATTCCCTTGGGTTTCTATTGCTGTTTAAGAGCAGATGGCCTTAACCCTTGTCTAACATATTCAACTTCTACACATATGAATAACACACTGGAAAATATTTATCTTCTCACCTGATTGGCTTGGCTTTGCAAGTAGACTCTTCTGGCATTCAGATCTTCAAAGGGAGAAGGTCTTGAGCTTCTATAAGGCTCACTGGTAACAACTGTCTCTTGATGGAAAAGATGATCTTTCACCAGAGAACTGGGAGTATTCTCTTCAGCAGTTGCCTAATGGGAACAACCCCCAATTCATTAATTGCCAGAATATAAAAACCAAAAGTAAAAAATTAAAGACTTTCACTCTAATGGGTATTTAGCAAATCAGTTAAGGATGTACCACTACCATCACTATAAATAACAATTCCCTAAACTCAAATGTATATGATTAGGGAGTCATGTTAAAATAAAATTTTTAAAAAAAAATCAACTTTATGAAGAAACTGAGCTTTCTTACAGAAAACAACTTAGGAAGAATTAGAAGGCTAACCATTCCATGTGAGAGATATTTAATTATAATGAAGCTTTTAACTAACTAAAAGTGGCCTTGTAGTACACAAAGTGTTCTTTTGCAAGTTAAAAGGTACGGACCAAGAACTGTGCTCTACTGCATGACACAGGGAATCAAAAGAAGAAAGAGAGCAATCATGACCTTGCTAAACAGTGAATGAATTAAGTAGCCTGAACTTGTTGATTATTTTAAAGGATTAAGATCACACGAGATTTAGGTAGAGGATATGCTCAATCAATGACAGTGGCTAAAAACATGCTTTTAAAATTTTATAAACAATTATTTCTGTAAAATAAATGTTAAATAAGTGAAACTTAGCATGCTATAAAACAAAAAGTTGTAAAAGTTTTTATTGTTTCTCTTTTTTTAAAGAAATGAGATACCTATTTGCTATAACTTTCCCCATTACCATATGGTTTCTTTGGGAAGAAACCATGACAGTCAAGTAAAGACGACAGAAACACTTCCTTTGGCTCATTCTAAAATAATTTAGAATTAGGGGCTAACAATTTTAAAGGTACAAACCATTATAAGCTTTTTAAAAAAAAAATGCATTAAAAATTTTGGTGTTACTTTCTAAAATTAAACAATAGAATTCATAAAATGGCTAAGATATTTAAAACATAAATGGAAGTTCTAGCCCTTCTGGAACACAGTAGCCTTGTGACATTTGATTTCTTTGCAACCTAGTTGTCTCAATTATCAAATAATTATAATTCCTATTGTTTTATGACATGGATTGACATAAGGACTTACAGAGACGATAATATATGTGAAAATGTTTTGAAAACTAAAAGCTTTTATTTCATCAGGAAATAAGCAATTAAACTTTAAAAATATGAGAATCTACTGTTACTTAAATCTAAATATGTTGAACCCAGTTAACTGCTAGTTAGCTAATTTTCATAATAGTTGTCCAAATGTGTTGCAACAGTCAATGCTAAATTATTGGAAAGAAGTTGGCTAAATACTGGTATCCAGCAAACATTCTTTCAAAATGCATGATAAAAACTTGAAGGAGTAAAAACACACTTATTTGTTCCAGAGAGTTCTCAAATAACTCAATTAATTGTCCAAAATTAAGCAAACTGAATAGAAGAATACACTGGGGGTGGGGAGTTTAGAGACAGGGCTTAGGGTGGAACCTTGTCTCATCCAATTAGGGTATAAAAGTTAAGCAATTCACTTCTCTGAATCACAATTTCTTTTTATTATAAATTGGGTATAATATTTGTACTAAAAATCTCAGGGTTAGTTAAGATACTCAAGAGATTAAAAACTACAAAAAAAAAAAAAGCGTGAATGATAATATTTGTTATCTGCAGTAATTAAAAAGTAACCGCTTTTAATGGTGACAACTATTTGGATCAAGCTATCTTTACTGAATCCTAATATAATTGAAGAGTCAATTAAAAATTGTAAAATAAAATAAAACTTACTTTAAAATCTGTATCTAAACACACATAAAATGGTTATATAACCCAGTGTTTTACCGTACTGAATTGGGTTCATTCTACTTATATCCCATACATTAAACTGTAATACATTTCATTTTAAGACTAAGCATATTTATTTTTTAAAGAGTACTATCCCAAGTGTTTATTGTTTGGTTATTAAACAAAAATATGTATATTTGGGTAACAAAAGATTTAGTTTTACTTAAAAATTTTTACCAAAGTAACTAAAATCAACCTATTAATTAACTAGAAATACTTCCTATCACACAGTGAATTCAATTATACATCTAAATGGGTCTCAGATAATAAAATAACTAAAACATCTGTCAGGTGTCTATTATGGTAAAAACAAAAACAAAAAACCCTCACTGTTTGAAAATGCAGATTCTACAATTTATAATAAGGCATGTGTTATGCATGAATTGTGGGAAACAAATTAACATTTCTAAGAGAATCCTACTCTGGAAAAGGGTGTTTTCCTACTACTTATCTCTTCAAAAAGTATACACATATTCATTTTATTATTTTTATATTATTATCTCATATAAAGGAGTATATACAGAATAATATAAAAATAACAAAATGAATATATGTATACATGTCATATGACTTAAGAAAGAGAATATAACCAATAACTTACATGTGTTTCTCCATGTCAGCAGCCTCCATCTCTACCACTTGGATTGCCAACAGGTAAACATCATTTTGAAGCTATTGGTTTTTTAAAAATTTTCTTACTCTTCCTTACAGAAGAAGTATTACCCTAAACAATATTTAGTTATAGATGCTTCTGAATTACATTTGACTGATATGCTATTTGGGACATTATGGGACTTGCTTTTTTTTTTGCTCAACTTTTTTTGGTGAAACTCATGTTGACAATATGTAACAATATCTCATTCACTTTCACTTCTTTGTAGCAATGATAACTATTACATATTGAGCACCTTCTTTGTATCAGGCATTGTCGCAGGTACTTTACATAGGTTAACTCATTTAATCCCCACAACCTTTGGCAGTAGATAGCATTATGATGTCTCTGTTCTATCTAAAGAAACTAAAACTCAGAGATTAAGTAATTTGCCTAAAATGAAAGTTACTTGGACATAATCTAAAGTTAGGCGGTGGGAAATGCCAAACATCTTCCACGAGAGCAGAAAATTTAATACATGATATGCATAAAGGCTATACATACATTTGCATGATCGTCAGAAGTTAAAATTATATATAGCAGTTATATATACCCACATTCAATGCTTTTAGTATTGTGCTGGCATAGGCTCATCGCCATTATCTATAAAGTAACCCATGCCAATTTTAATGTACAATAGAAATCTGTTTCACTCTCAGAGGCTGGTATAATAATTATTCTCCTATGGTTGCTAAGAGACTATTTAGCTTTTTTCTTTTCTAAGGCTACAATTTTGTGTGTAGAGGCAAAAGGATGCCAGGTAAAGCAATAAAAGAATTTGGGCTGTACCTCTCCACCAGAACATAAGGCTAGACAAGAGTCGTGGAGAAAATAAAAACAAAATTTGCTTCCCTCCTCCCTTTGCTCTTCTTCCTGCATTAACTCTGAAGCAGAGAAAACTTAGTTTTGTTCTGTAAGCCTTCTTGAATGTATGTTCCCCAATAAATAATCAATCAAGCAAGAAAAAGTGGTAGCAGTCTACTTACTGCTCAGAAACGTCATTCTTGTAGCTGTATATCACAAATCAGTTTTCAAAATGTATGGCTGAGCCATATCCAGTAAGAGAAGTTTAAAATAATTATACTAATAGCTTACTTTACAATGATCAAAATTTTTTTAAATGTTCTCTGATAAAGAAATTTTATATTTTAGTAGTGCATATGTTGAAAATGCTACCAAAGTTATTCTTGGCATTTAAAATTATATACTCAAATTATGCAAACTTAGCACAGAAAAGGAAAAAAAAAAAAAAAGACTGACAATTCCATGAACTTAGCAAAACCACTAACACTTTGGAGTAGCATCCAGTAGCAATTCATTTCAGATCTGACCATGACTATCTCCTATGCGGTCTTTTGCTTTCTTTAAGTTACTTTTGATTAGTTAAAGATTAGAATAAGCCGTTGGGTTTTTTATTTCACTTTTGTCTATGAGCTTTTTCTGAGAGCATTAACAGCACAGAGTATTTTGTTTAAGCAACCTGAATACAGTCATCAGTGAGGAAACAATATAAAAGGAATATGAGAAAAGTACCCAGCAAAAACAGAAAAGGAAAACAGGTCCCTTGCTCTAGGTTAATCAACAGAAAAACTAAACTACCTTCCTAATGACACTAGCTTGACTAAAAAATGGTACTAGATTTTCTGAGATTATTGTTTGTGACTCTGAATTAATAGGCAGTAGTTACATAGTTCCTGATAACTATGTAAATCTTTATACTATCCTTTAAATGGCAAATCTATTTCTAGAATTTTATCCTAAAGTCACACTCAGAAATACTAACAAAAATTGATGTAAAAGGTTGTGGAAAATAAAGTAAATGTTGAATGAAACGTGAATGATTAAATAATCTGTAGTACTGTTACGTAAGATACAGGCTAAATTCAAAGACTGTGAAGTCAGACCACGTGGGTTCAAATTTTATGACTTACGCTACTTAAATTCCAACCACCACCGTCACTACCATCACCAGTACAAATGAAAATCCTAACAAAAACACAATCAAAATGGAAAAGAGACTGATTCTGATAATTGCTTTTAAAAAGAAGTTTGCATTTAAATACAACATGCAAGAAATAAAATAAAAAAAATTTAAAAAGCCTAGGCAGGAGTAACTAAAAATACTAACAGCCGTTATCTCTGGTTGGGGAATAAATAATTCCTGATTTCTTCTTCATAATTTTCTAACTATCCAGATATTCTACATGAAAATGTGTTAGTCTAAGGGTCAGAAAAAAAAATTAAGATAATGACAAACCATTATGCAAAAAGATTATACAGTTTTTTTCTCTCTTATTAAATAATAAATAAAACTCAATCTAAAATATACTGAGATTTTGGGAACTTAACTTCAGGGTAGTACTTAATTTAGAATGGTGATAAGTCACAGTAATATAAAATCCATTTGTTAGCTAAATAAAACCTATCGGTCGGAATGGTGATAAGTCACAGTAATATAAAATCCATTTGTTAGCTAAATAAAACCTATCCATTAACTTAGTTTTCAGATACAGAGCCTTATTAAAATGTTACTACCTCTGAAAATTAGTATACGAACAATTTATCCTCCTAGTCCATAGCAAAATTACTTTAAACAATAAATATAAATTACAAGCCATTTCATTATTTTGGCTCAGAAATGACATTACCTAATTCTAAAACAAGGATCTTAGTCAAATACTTCTCAGCAGCCAAAAGAAAAGATGTGATCACTTTTCACTTCAGATCAACTAGGTGCCATCTTTCTACTGCCCAAAAGCATGAAATCTGAGATCTTTTCCTCTTACAACCTCAAGTCTGTCATGAGGGAAATCTTATGGGTTTTGTTATCAACCTAACATCAGTCTAGCATAGCTGAGCAATTACGGCTATTGTAACTGAAAATTCCAGTTGGAGAGACACTATAAAACTGATCTTAAAACAAGTTTAAGCTAGCATTAAAAACAAAACAAAAACTCCTTAACTGACTCATTAAAATAGTCAAAAAAAGAGAAACAAAATGAAAAGAACATTCCTACCTTATTACTGCTTAGGTTTTTTTAAAAAATCCTGATTTTGAAGATTTTTCTCCAATAAACCTTTCTTGAATACCAACTATGTATGTGATCAACGCTGTACTAAACATCAGGGACATCAGGGATAAAAGATGGACAAGATACAATTTTAAATCCAAATGACAATGCGTTATGAAGCCCTTCAAAGACAGATGTGAAATAGGGAAGTAAACGCCTTCCTGTTGATTTATGCTAACTGATGAGGATATTGGTTATATTGAAAGCAGAAAGTTGTCCACCAGCAAATAACCAAATGTGTCTACCATACTTATTCAAAAAGAATACGTGCTCAAGTAGTTGCTCAATGAATTAATAAATACTCAAAATGAAGAGGATCTCCAATCTGATGTTTAATGCCTTCAGGACATTTATGATCTAAATATAATCAATACCTCCTCTAGGCTTAAAAATTAGATAATGGGTTATTCCTTTAAAACCATTTTAGTTGCCTTTGCAAATAATCACCAATAAAGTGAATCTGACATAACCACTGCTATAAATCAATCTGTACTCAAAATAGTATCAAACTGTTTATGCCACGGCCATAGGTGGGTTATGAAACAAGATGTACTTTACCCTAATACGGTAGCTAAACCAGCAATTTTCAACAGGTGTGCCGCAAGAATTTTTAGGACATGCAATGCCTGACTTATTTTCCCTTAGAATGTCAAATTAAAAAATGACAACAGCCAACACAACAACAGCCATCCAGTGTGGATGAATCAAAATGGCACCTATTTTTTTAAGATCAGCAAAAAATATATTTCTTGATCTGCAGCAGAATTTTAGTAATTCGTTTATGTGTGCCATGAGATGAAAAAGGTTGAAAATCACTGAGATAAATAAATTAGAACACTTTATATCTCCACAATATCTTATTCCAAAATAAGAACAAAATGCAAAAACTTTGGCATAAATAGTAAGGTACATTTAAGAGTCCTTTGGTAGTTTTAATTCTGGATGTTTATTCCTCTTAAACATTTTCAAACAAGGAGTTCAGAAATATTTACCTCACACATTTCCTAGCCTTTCAGTATCCCACCCCCTCCCTTTTTGTATGTGTGTTATATGTCACTGTTGAGTTGGCTCCAACTCCTGGCAAAACCCTATGAATGAGTGATGTCCACATCTATTAGCCCACCTTTTTAAGCTGAATTTTAACCAAATTTCCTTTCACCATAGGATGAAATTCAGAACATGTTTCCCCATTTCTAGTCCCATGTTTTGATTGATATCAGAACAAAATGGAACCCTGAAAAAGGATTAACTAAAAAATATATTTATTTTGCATTTTATTATTTATTTCTTATACCTAATTAACTCCAACTCACTGCATTTTTAAAATTATAACTAACCATCAACAAAATAAACAGATTAAAATTTTAAAGACAAAACTTTTATATGTACGAGTACTAGTAATTAGGATACATCTATTATAAACAAATTACATAAAAACAAAACCATTAAAAATTCAATATAAAAACATATTTAGAAAATACTGTTATTTAAGTGGAAAAAACAGAGTATAGTCTAATAACATAATAATACATGTATGTACATATTTATATGTAAGAAAAAACTCAAAAGTTGTATTTTAAAATACATATGGTGGTTACCATGGATGATAACAATTTATGTTTTTTCTTTAAACTTCACTGTACTTCTCAAAAAAACCAAAAACGTTTCTATATTCTGACTGCAAGAGTACATAAAACATTTTCCCATGTCTTTAGGTCACAACTATTTTTACAATATAAATAATTGGTTATTAATAAAAGGTATTCATATAAATTTAGGTTCTTTTATGTTATTCTAAAAATACTGTTATTGCAGCAAACTTAAAAAATACAGAGAAGTACTAATAAAAAAGCCATGTAGCTCAGAATTCCACAATCCAAAAGTAACTAACAAAAATATCTAACACTTTGAGTGATGATAACACCATATAATTTTTGTGTTTTTATTATTCAATATACTACAAGTAAATTCATAATTAATAAAATTTTAATAGTTTATAACAAAAATATACCTTAATAAATTCAACCATTCCCATTCTCCTATTTAGATAGCTTGTTTTTATTATCATCAGTATTTTATACACATATCCTCAAAAATCTGAGTATAAAAAATTTTGCCCATCTCAATTTCCTTAGTTCAGACTACTGGAAATGGATGCACTAGGTGAACAGGCATGAACGTTTCTATTTTAAAGGCTTTTTAATACAAATTACCAAACTGCTTTCTAGAAAGAATCTACCAATCTATATTTTCTCCAGCAGGGAGGACATTAATCTGTCAATCTCGTGGACAGACATAGTATGGGGTAATACCAATTTTTAAACCTTTGGTCATTGGGTAACTAAAATATGTTAACTTAAACTACCTGCTGATTATCAGTGAGATAAAACAGAAAGGTTTCCACATGCTTCTTAACAATTTGTAATTTCTTTTCTGTGATTTTTTTTATAGAAGTACCTTGCCTAAGGGGTGGGTATCTGTGATAGTTAATTTTATGTGTCAACTTGCCTAATCTATGATGCCAAGCTATTTGGTCAAAAATCAGTCTAAATGTTGTTGCGAAGGCAATTTTCACATGTGACTAACATTTAAAACAGTAGACTCTGAGTAAAGGAAATTACCCTCTATAAAGTTGGTGGGCCTCATTATAAGAACACTTAAAGAAAAGACTGAGGTCCCCCAAAGAGTAGTTTGCCTCGAGACAGCCTTTCAACTCAAGACAAAACATCAACATCAACGAGTGACAGAACTTCAGCATGTCTGCCAATCCTGTGGATTTCAAACTTGACAATCACATGAGCCAATTCGTTCAAAACAAAACCAAAACCAATGTGGATATGCATATGTATCTCCAAACCAAATCAAAACAACCTTCTCTCTATACATAATATATACATACATACATACTATTGGTTCTGTTTCTCTGTACTTCCTGACAAATACAGTGTCTTAAATAGTTTCTTAAAAACTTCTGAGTTGCTTATTTATTAAGGCTAGTGATTTCCTCTATATCCTTTATGTTTAAAAAATTCTTTCAAGCCAACTACTTACTTGTAAGTCATCTTCTGCTCCTTCAGTTTCATTTTTTAATGCTGGGCATCCTAAGAAAACAGGTAAAAGTTTAATTAAACATAGAATATTTGCCTTAGACTTTAAATTGATCACATCATTTCAGTACTACAGAAGTCTGATCAGAGACCATTCTGGGATGCCTGGCAACTAGTCATATGTTGGCCACTCATACTTGCCCCTTTATTAGAATAGAGAATAGAGTGATTGTTTTCCTCTTCTGCAGGTAAATTCCGAGTTACTTATAAAGAGATTTTTTTGTGTGTGAAAGTGTACTATTTCAGCAAGCCCTGCTCCTGATTTCTCTAAAATCTCAAACTGCTAGGTAAAGTATATGCACCACACTCCTCTGGTGTTTAGCCCATGTATGATTTCTTCAATTTTTCTAAACATTCTAACCCAGGAAAACAGTATTTACTACCCAGAAGTAGGATTTTAGTTTCTATAGTAAGAAAAATAAATAAATAGTCAATGGCCAATTGTTGCTATTGGCCTTTGTGTATCAATGTCTCTGTATACATTTTCATTATGTTCAAGAGAGCTTTTAGTCCAACAAATCAATGAAGAGGGATTTGTCCTAGCAATGAATTCTGAGTTTATGCTACCCTTGAGAGACATAGCTAGCACGGAGATGAGAAATCTGCCCTTTGAAAAGGGCTGCAGTAAGTTCTTCCTTATTGTCACAGAAGGCTAAGAGAAATTTAATGAGATTGTTCAAAGTTTATACAGTGACTAACAACGTTTAAAAGTAACAAGACGGGTTGAATACAGCTGATGTCTATTTTACCTGGCTAGGAGTTTGGAAACCTCTCCTTATAAATTGTCTTTTTGAATGTTAAACTCAATCTATTTGACCCTAGTGAAAGAAGTGTCATCTCATGGGGACATAAGTATAAGCTTAAAAGTAATTCAAAACTTAATATAAATCATATCAAATCCAACAGCCATAGGTAATGATTTCCTCTTTAAAGCACTGGTTCTTCAACACTAGCTGAATACCAGAATCAACTGGGAAACTTTAAAAAACATACTGATGCTAGAGTATAGTACCAAAGCAATGTCAGAAATCTCTGTGAGGTGAGCCATAAGGGAGGGAATCAAGCATTTTTTATTTTTAAATTTTTTGCAGTGGTTTGGGAACCACAACCTTTGCTAGATAATCTGAAGATCTGTATTCATCATTTGTTTTTGAAAATTCATAATATAACCATTCAACTAGGATAACAATTCCTCATCACATCTGAAATGTCTAGGAACTTAAAAGAATATATATACATGAAATGCCTGGGTTCCACTCCCCAAATAGTTTGGTTCAAGTGACCTGGAGTAGGAAATAGTTATTCTTTTTCTCAAAAGCCTCCCCGGTAATTCAAACGTGCGGCCAACACTGAGAACACTGACATAAAAAGAACTTATCTCTCTGTCCCTCTCCCTTCCTCTCTCTCTGAAGTCAATATAAAAATATATTTAAAAAATCAAATAAAATGATAGACACATACTTCTTTAAAAAAACCACACACACACACAAAAACCCTGCAAGCTTTCGAGCTAATAATCTTAACAGACTGGAAAGATACACAAAGAGATAGATAGGGTTGTGGTATCCGTCAATGCTCAATAATGAAATCAGGTAAAAAGAAAAGGGTTTTGCGGTAGAATAACTGAAGTCTACCTTTATTTATTAGAAATTTTATATTTATCGTCACCCAAACAAGAATATGACTGATACACACACGGATTTCGAGAGTTGTAACTGGCTGCTCCCCTCTTCTTCACGCTCTTATTTGAAATCATCTGAATGATCTGAAGGGTACTGTTGACAGGCTCTTCAAAGGTAATAAATTTAAATGGTATATATTGTGATGCAACGAATATGAAACAGACTAAGGAGCCCATTATTTTACCTTCTTCACCTACAGTGAGCTTTCAAAGCCAGATCCCATTATTACAAAAGCTGACTTGTTCACAGTAACTCTACTTTTCTATATACAACTGATGAACAAATTAAGAAAACAGTGAAGAAAACTTACCTTGAGAAATATCCTCTATAGCTCTTCGAATACCTCTATCAAAAGCCCTAGCATCAGCAGGACTTTGAAAGGTAAGGCCAAATTTCTTGTCCTCAATCTTCCAGTGGTGAAATGTTGGAGTGACCTTATTGTAAATGAGGTCCTTTTTAAGCATACATTCCAAAACCACCTGTGAAAAGTTAAATGCCAAAGATTACTATATATATCAAATGCACCTAATGTAATTCTTAAATACGAACTGGAATGAGAAAAGAGCTATTACGTTTTCATGAGTATTTCAACCCTATATTAATACGGAGGTCTTGCTACTTAATCTACTTCACAAAGTTACTCAATACAGAAATTAAGATGGGACCAAAGAGGATTCTAGGAAAATGGAAAAGAACCACTAGGAATCTGTCTTCCTACCTAGACAACAACTGCACTGGCAGAATTTGTCTGAAATAACTATGCTGGAAGTCTGGAGTCTGTTGAAAGCTTGTAACTTCCAGAGGAACCCATGGATAGTTGTGCATGTGGTCCTGAAGCAGCATGCACACAAATCGTGGGAGCAAGGGTGGGCAAAACGAATCCTGTCCTCCGAATACCAGGTATCTGTGCTCTGATCACTGACTGCTGCTTCTGATCACAGAGGTAAAGACAAAGAAGAGGGCAGCCACTGCTCTCGTACCTTCCCTCACTGCTGCAAGTCCTTCCCCATCAGAGTGAAGTGACTTCCAGGGTATTTAAGGGGCTAGAAACCTTTTTACCTGTCATTTTTCACTTTTTCCCATTTTGAGAGCCAGGCATTAAAGACTAGAACATGCAAAAGCAACATATGTGGGGAAAATTAGAAAGTGACTATGCATACCCAAGAAAAGGATTAGAAAAGACATGAGAAGACATTAAGTTTATATCTCATTCTGCTCCTTGGCACAGAGACTAATAATAATAATAATAATAATAATAATAATAATAATAATAATGATATAGTACCAAAACCAGCAAACCCTGGAGAAATGAGACAATCTGATTTCCAGAGTTACCACATTATTAGATTCAAATGCGCAGTGTTCAACCAAAATATCCCAATGCATATAAAGAAATAGTAAAGTAAAGCTGGATTAAAGTGGGGTGGGGGAAAATCAACAGAAACTGTTCCTGAAAAAGACCCGATAGATCTACTAGACAAAGGCTTTTAAAAAACTGTCAAAGATTTTGTTTTGTTAAATATACAGTAAAGATTATTGATATGCTAAAAAAATACATTAATAGGTGATTTATTTACTCTGTAGGAAAAATAGGTAATGAGACAAACTATTACTGGCTGACAGGGAGTTATACCTATTAATTACCACTGTAGTAAACTAAAAGGTACTCTACAGAACTGAAGTGGTGACAACTCTCCAGAATAAATGACCTACACTTACTCTTAGAGCTTCTTTATATGTATCTGGTACAAAATAGATACTCCTAAATTCTGTTAAGACTCTCCTAAAGGCAAATGCCACAGCCATTACAAATATAATCTGAAAACCATTCTGTATATAGTTGCTAAAATTGAAACACGTCTCTAACTAATCTTAATAGTTGAAAAAAAATATGCCTTTTTCTAGGGTTAAGGAGATCTGAAAGTATGTAAATTTCATCAGACCTCCATGGTTAACGATGAATAACACTTATAAATTAGAGAGTAAAAATAAATTAAAAACTGAATCAGTGACCCTGACCTTATTTCTCCCCTAAAGAAAATATTTTACATTAATTTAATATAAAGCTATTCATAGTGTAAATAGAATTGTAAAGTGAAAGTTTAATAAAGACTGACTCAATAAGAATAACTATGAAAGAATATGTTGCCCAAAGAATATGACATCAATTAACTTTCCAGATCCATTAAGAATGTGGCTGGTGTGGCTCAGCAGTTGAGCATCGACCTAAGATCCAGGAGATCAAGGTTTGATTCCTGGTCAGGGCACATGCCCAGGTTGCAGGCTCGATCCCCAGTCAAGGGTGTGCAGGAGGCAGCTGATCAATGATGACTCTCTCATCACTGATGTTTCTATCTCTCTCTCCCCCTCTTCCTCCTTCTCTCTGAAATCAATAAAAACTTATATATAAAAAAAAAGAACAAAGAATGTGGCTTGTTAACAAATAATAAATCAAAGGGTCACATTTTAGAATCAGCACAATACCAGAACTTTTTGAACTTTTGTTCACCTACAAGTGTGTTGGGATTAGAAATGAAGCATTATTTATTAGAAACTAAAAAATTAATGTATGATGAAAAAAATTAAAACTAGAAGAAAGCAACAACAGATTCAAAAGCTCTTTAATGTTTATGACTGCATGAAAAAAAAATTTTTTCAGACTTTGACATACCAACAGACACGACCATGTTTGCATGGAATATAATTTCTGTTAATAGACTGGCTGCAGCCAGCCTTAGGAAGGTGACTATTAATCATGAAGGAGGAAAAATACAACTATGTAGGGGTAGTATTTGGAAGAACAGCTTTGCATTCCAATACAGATGTAAGTTGGTTAAGACATACAAGTTTAAATTTTTTATTAGCTAAATACTTTTGGAACCATGAATATTTTAATGAGATCTTAAAGTCTTTCAATCTAGTTGTAACAAAAGGAACAATGTGTGTGTGTTTTTCTTCTTCTGTTAAGGGGAAACAGGTATTAATTAGGAAAAAATACATATGAACAGGTGAAGTCTAAAACTAAGAAAAGTGAAACTACAATTAGCATAAATGTAAAAATCTGATACAGATAAAGGGAGAGGGAGGAGAAGTGGTCCCCCTATAGTACCAGGCTAGGAGTTAAAAGAGAAGGGAAAAGAAAAAAGGTGGTTACTGAAAACGGATGTTTGCACAAGTGAAAAGTGTCCAAAATAAAATTATTTGAGGCGTGAATAACAGAAGGAGCAGGAACAGGGCACATATATCCCCACTCCTCCCCCCAAAATGTTAGTACTGTGTAAGAGGAATTTGGAATAGTGGGATAGCAATTAATTAAGCTTGTGGGCTTTGCAGCTAAGATCACCTGGGTCCCATCCAGTCTCCACCACTCATTCATTCTCCATCTGACTTTTGAGAATTAAATGAGGTACTACAGAGTACTCAAAATATGCCTGACACATAACAACAAAACTTCAATAAATATTAGCTGCAATATTGAGGTTGGTCTCTAGGTGATGTCACTAACCGTAACAGAACAGTTGCTATGAGAGGCTAGGAGGTCGTTATTTATGAGGGGACTTTTTTTGAGAATGGAGGGGGAGGGGTTTGAATGATAAAGGTACTCAGGACCTCAAAGAGCTTGTGAACAGATTCTGAGGAGCTTAAGTTAATGGGTTCTAAAAGCAGTGAAAACATTTCAACCTCCCCATGTTTTTCCTTCTTCTAAAAGAAATTCTAGGGTATTTGATGGGGGGGACACACACCAAGATCACTAAACAACTAAAACTTCTGAAGACATATTCCAAGTTATTTTGGGAAATATAGAGTAAAACTCCCATCATAAAATTACTAGACTTGTTTTCCACAAGCATTTAAAATAGACCAAGCCAAAAATGGGTATAAGTGCATTTTTGTTTAACTAACTACTAATAATTTGGGAGAGCAGAGTAAAATTAAATATGTGCTTTAAACTACTATGTACTTTATTATAGTTGCTACCTTACAAGTAGAAAATTACATGTTCACAAATAGTATTATCTAAAAAGTAGTACAGCTGGTAACCAAAGCTAAAAAAATTTTACTAGTAACTTTCTGAAACACCTGTGAATCACTTCATTTTTTAAATAAAAATTTCAAATTCAAATTAAATTATTTTTAATCAAAATCAATAATTGGCATCTTAAATAGTTGCCTCAGATTATGAACTTTAGTCTTCTGGATGACATAAAAACAGTATCCTTTATGAAGGAAACCAAGGCATCCTATGAAATATGAAATTGTATTGTTATTAAATACATTATTCTTACTAATTATTAATAAAAATAATTTATATTTAACACTGTTCTGAGCTGAGTGGGATTTTAGAAATTTTTAAAAAATGACAAAAGAAACAATGGCATGTTTCTTGCATGATAGCAGTTCAGCTAGTAAAAAGGGAAGGAGGCAGTACTCGTTCAGAAAGCCTGCGTCATAAAGCACAGAAACTGCTCCACAGCAAAGGAGAATAGACACACATGGCCTAATGCTTCGTGAATTTTTACTGAAGGAACAAAAATGTTCTAAGAACATTATTAATACAGCTGGCAAAACTGCAGTATGGAATCTACACTGAAGTACTATATTTATGTTAAATTTCCTAAATAAAATAATTATACTTTGAGTATATAAGAAAATATCCTTGTTCTTGGGAAAAATACAATAAGTATTAAGGGGTAAAAGGTGGGATGTATGCAACTTACTTCAAATACGTAGTTTAAAAAACATGCGAGCGTGTGTGTACTACGGTGGGGAGAGAATAAAACCAATGTGGCAAAATGTTAAAAACTGGTGATTTGGGGTTAACGGGTGTATAGGAGTTCTTGTACTATTCTTGCTCAAGTTGATTCTTTGCCAATACTAGGGAAATGGACAAAAGAGGGCACAAAGTACAAATAAACAGTATTAGAAAAGGCAAGGGACAAAACTGAAGGCACAGTAAAACACTCAGAAAATAATAAATACAACGTAAGGGCTTATGACCCCAAATTTGAAAACTTAATGAAATAACTGATTTCTTAGAAAAACTACAACTTACCAAAACTAACTGAAAAGAAACAGAAAACCATTAGAGACCTATAACCATTAAAGAAACTGAGTAAGTAGAAAGTGAGAATGACAGGGGATGAGGGAATGGGAGGAGAGATACAGTGGGATTCTATCAGCACTAAGGACCATAAGCAAGAAGGCCACTCTCTGTGGAGAACTGAGGGGATTAATATCAGCAAAAAGAGAAGGGAACTGTCACAATAATTAGGACACTGCTCTAACTCCTGTTGGCCATAATAAAGAACAATATAAAATTATTGGGCACAATGTAAAGGTTTATGACCCCAAGGTAATATTCCTTGCTTCTTTATTTGGCTCCTTCCCAAGTTCTTATCATATAGCCTGTTAGATCTCTGAATTGCCAGAATAAAACTAAACAAGCTTAAACGATTCTCTTCTCCCTCAACTGGGTCTG